ATGTAAAAACTAAAAATAATGGCGCGGCAGCGAGAACCTTCATTACCATATTGCCCTTTTGTCTTTTTTTCTCCTGTTATCTTGTTTTGCAACTATTTTCTCTACGACGAGCCAGGCTTGGAAATTCTCTCGGCGGCGATGCTGCTGGAAGTGGCTCTTTTTGGAGGAGGCAATTTTAAAAAAAAAAGCAGAACCTGCTCAGCAGAACCTTTTTGTGTAGTGATGGAGGGTACAGCTGCCTGGCTGCTGTTTCAGGTGTGTCACACACGCTTTTGCTCTGAGCTGATCTTCCCTCTGGGTCTCCTCAGCTGGAGGAGACGTTTCTCCCTGCGAAAAGATCTCAGACGTGGCCTTACTTGTCCATCTGCTCAGCTAAATCCATCACTGCTCAGGCTGCCAGTGACTGCAGTGTTTATTTTGTAGTTATTTTCTCCCCTCAGACCATGAGAAGTGAAATCTTGTCCTGACTGTATCAGGTGAAAGCAGCACTGAGATTCTTCCTATCCCGGATCCACATCATCTCCTTTGGTCCTGCCACTGGTTTCCCCATCAGTGTTGTCCCACTCAAGTCACACATCTTCACTTTGAAGCCCAGTAGGTCCCATTTCAGCTTCCCTGCTGTTTCCAGTTCCCTGTGTACCTTCTCCCTGAAGGACTTGTGATGCCACCTTCTATCCCTCAGTCACCCCCTTTTCAAACTGCCCTGAGAAGCTGTGGCTGCCCCTGGATCCCTGGAAGTGTCCAAGGCCAGGTTGGACAGGGCTTGGAGCAGCCTGGGCTAGTGGAAGGTGTCCCTGCCCATGGCAGGGGTGGCACTGGATGGTCTTGAAGGTCCCTTCCAACCCAAACCATTCTGTGATTCTGTGATCAAGTAATTCCACGTTTTCATATGCAAAGTTACGCACATCCTTAAACCCTTTTCTTGGGCTTTCACTCTTCCTCAGAAGGAATTTCTATTAAATGTAGACAATGTTAATCGATTAAATTCCCAGAAATCCCTCTGAAAATCCTCTTGGCTTCTCAAAAAGCACTTGTAAACAATTACACTTCACGAGCTGCCTGTTGTGAGGGTGCGGATTTGCCTCAGTTTCCTTTTGTTTCACCATCTGTTTGCATCAGTTTGTTCTTCCTTATCTTTGTGTGAGTTCTAAGAACATTGAGAAAAGAGACATCTTCGTTCTTTCTTTTGCTTTTTATTTTGTGTTCTGCCTCTCCTCTCCTCTCCTACATCAGTAGGACTAAATAAACCAGGTCAGGACATCACCTCCAGCACCCTCCTGTGCTGGTGCACTTGGGGCTAATTGGTAGCACGTTCATTTGCAGGGTTTTGTTTCAGAACTAAGACTTCCCTGGGCACGGCCACGTGCTGGGGACCATCCCCAGATTGTGGTTTGGATGTGCTGAGCTGCCTGTTTGGAGGGGAGGGCAAGATTTGGCCCCGAAGAGCTGCAGGTTTTGCCGTTGTTTTGGACCCAGAGGATCCGTGTGGTCTCTTTTATTTAGTACTACAGAGGTAGCCCGAGATGCTGGGGGTTACACAAATAAAATCAGATGCCTTTGATAGGTGTCAGCATTTTAATGAGGAATTAAATTAAGCCCTGGGTGCTCTGCCCATCTAATGGCACTATTTTTCCCTCGCAAGCTGCTTTTTTGTCGCTGTTTTTTCCCCCCCCCCCCCATATTTTACGACAATTGCCTCAAGCCCTGATCTGGTGGGATTGTGCCAGATACCTGCACAGCTGGAAGCTCATCAGCCATTCAGATTCCTTCAGTCAGGATGTCAGTTTTATCACAAAACTCGCAAAGCTCACCGTGGTGATTTCCAATTTCCTCTTTAGTAGACATTTTGTTTGAATGCCATGAAGGGGCTCCTTCCCCGGAGCCCCCAGGAGCACAATAAGCTATGCTCTTTGAGAGAGCCCAGATGACTACAAAGTTCCCTTCATTAAATTTTCTTTTCATGCTTTAGCATAGAATATTTCTTTTTTTAAGGCTCTCTCCCTCTCTCTGGTTTTCTTTTGTGTTTTCATCTTATTACCTTTATGAGGTTGTGTGATGCATCAGCTCGATGGGAAAGGGGGGTGTGGGGGCTCCCTCAGAGGAGGTTTATTCCAGCACACAGGAATATTTGAGGTGCTTGAGGAGCAGCTGGGGAAGGGAGAGCAGATCAAGTAATTGTAAACTTAATAAAAAACACGTCATTCCTAACGTGCCATGTGGCTCAGGCTGCTGCTCATATTGACTTTTGCTTTCAGATTTCGGGTGTGTTGATTCTGTGAAGGAGTTATTGAGTTGCACTGAGTGGAGATGGAAATCTGTCAGCCTTCCCTGGCACTCCTGCTGCACTCCCACACTTCGTCTTTTTCCTTCGGTTTAGTTGTGAAATCCCCAAGCAATTAAACAAATAAATACGGTCGTGGGGCAGAATCTTATTTATTGACAGCAACTTTTTACCCGGGCAGAGAGTGATTGGATGAGGGGAAATGGTTTTAAACTGAAAGAGGGGAGATTTAGATTAGATATTGGGGAGAAATTCCTGGCTGGGAGGGTGGGGAGGCCCTGGCACAGGTTGCCCAGAGAAGCTGTGGCTGCCCCTGGATTCCTGAAAGTGTCCAAGGCTGGGTTGGAGCAACCTGGGAGAGTGGAACTCCCTGCCCATGGCATGGGGTGGAATGAGATGCTCTTTAAGGTCCCTTCTAACCCAAACCATTCTATGATTCTGTGATGACACTTTCCCTGCCACATGTCCCAAAATACAGATCTCCCTCTCTCACAGGATGTGGGATAGTTCAGGGAAGGGAATTCCTGCTCCAAGCAGGGTCAGCTCTGGCACCAGACCCAGTTTCTTCATCAGGTATTTAAAACCTGCACGTTTTACAATAAATTCCACATAATTTCCGGGTTTGCAATTTTTGCCTTTTCTTACAGGCTTTTTCTTCAGTCAAACCCCACACACCCTTAAATGCTTCTATAAAATCACCCTTATTCATAGAACCACGCAATGGTTTGGGTTGGAAGGGACCTTAAAGATCATCTCATTCCACCCCCTGCCATGGGCAGGGACACTTTCCACTAGCCCAGGTTGCTCCAAGCCCCATCCAGCCCGGCCTTGGACACTTCCAGGGATCCAGGGGCAGCCACGGCTTCTCTGGGCAACCTGTGCCAGGGCCTCCCCACCCTCACAGAGAACAATTTCTCCCTAATATCCAGTCTAAGGATTAATTGATGTAATCACAGGAACCTGAGGAAGTTCCTGTTAGGGAGATATTCCATCCCCCTTTGAGGAGTTTCCCTGCTGTTGGCTGTTTCTGACCATCCACCTGAGAGTCCTGTGATCCGTCACCAGTGGGAATCGATGGCAAACCCTTCGGTGGGGTCACCCTAAAGCACAAGGGAACCTTCTTTCCCCAAGGGGAGATCCTGCAGCACGTGTTTTCTGGCCATCCAGTGCCAGGAAATAATCTCATGGAGTGCTTTCCCAAAAGTGCAAGTGGTGCATTAGGGGGGTGTAACATTCCCAGCTTGGATCGATGCAGAGACGGCGCTCGCCCTCGATGGAGTGATCCAGGAAAATGGGCTGAGCTGTCTTGGAAGGAAATGGACTTGCTCACTTTGACTTGCCTCAGGTTTGCAGTGCCTGGAAAGGACAGGGCTAAGAGCACATTCCCAAAAATCACCTGGGAAAAGTCACAGTACAAAAACAACTGAGGGGCAGGAGACGAAGTGTCTTAGGGGGCTCTGATCTGTTGGCAATGTACAGAATCCATGGAAGCATTCAAGTAAGGGGTAATAAGTGGATTTTGGTCACTAGTGAGAAAAAAGCAATCGAAAAAGCTCTTTAACGTGGGTTAGAAAGTCCCCCATTGAAAATGCTCTAAACACAGTGACAGAACTTATGTAGCAATTGTACAGCAGCTCGTTCCCTTCTCTCCTCACCTTTATGTAAGAAGTCACTTTAAAACCACTTGTGAATAAAGGCACGGCAAGGTTTACTCTGGGTATTTTTGGTTAACTCGTGGTTTATTGTGTTGATTTATCAGTTCAGACCTGGGTTTCAGGCGTTTAAAACGAGCTCTGGTTTAGTTGGGTCTAAATCATCACCACTGGGAGTCTGATGTGTACAGAGAGTCTACGTGGTGCTTCCCCTCTCGTTCTCCATCCCAGCACAGACCTTGCCATCACCACTGTGTGTGCAGCAGCGTGTGGTTGTACATTCTGATGCCTCCCATGCTTTTGAAGTGCGTGCTGATATCAGCAGAGGGGGGATTAAGGGAAAATCCTCCTCCGTAAGAGCCGACAGAAGTCTGAACTCGGAGATCGTGCCGTGTGTAAGCACCTGGGAGCGCATTTAAATTCTGCTTTAGGCCTTTCACAGATGTAGGGTAATGAAGGAAAAGAGAAAGGGGGATGTTTTATATAGGTACATACTGTAAAAATCAAGGTGACTTAACATTGCTTTCTTCTAGCAGAACGTCTCGAGTGGTTGGCAAGATGTCACTTCCCCTAAGGAGCAGCATTTGTGCTTCATGTTTCATTTCCTTATCGTGGTAAAATAGATCTGCCTTGGCCAATCAGCAAAATAAGGCTCAGAATCACAGAATAATTTGGGTTGGAAGGGACCTTAAAGCCCATCCAGTTCCAACCCCCCTGCCATGGGCAGGGACACCTTCCATTATTCCAGGTTGATCCAAGCCCTGTCCAACCTGGACCTGAGCACTTCCAAAGAAAGAAATTCTTCCCTGTGAGGGTGATGAGGCCCTGGCACAGGTTGCCCAGAGAAGCTGTGGCTGCCCCTGGATTCCTGGAAGTGTCCAAGGCTGGGTTGGACAGGGCTTGGAGCAACCTGGGATAGTGTTGGGGTTGAAAGTGGTTTAATGTCCCTTCTGCCCCAAACCTGTCTGCGAATCTATAATAATAATAATTTTTAAAAAAAAAAGAGTTGTGTCTTTGCTGAAATCCTTTTGAGCAGGAAGCCCTGAAGTTCTTTTCTCTTTCCCCAGGAGATACGAGTCTCACCCCGTCTGTGCTGACCTGCAGGATAAAATCCTCCAGTGTTACCGACAACACGCTCACGAGACCCTGAGCTGCTCTGCCCTGGCCAACCAGTACCTGCGCTGTGTCAACCACGCCAAACAGGTGAGCTGGGCACTGGAGAAACAGGGAATGATGGAGAGAAGGAAGACTATTGGATTATAAGCATTTCCCAGTCTGTGTGTTCTCACAAACTCTGTGGAGACCGCTTGGACTTGGTTGAACTGCTCAAGTTTACATCCCTTCTCTTGGGAAGCTGTTGTTTAGTTGTAGGAGCTGTTGCTGTTGGCAGATGTTTCCTGCTATCTTGCAGTTTTAGCAGTAAAAACAAGGGGGTTAAACTACATGGTACTATTTATGAGAAATTAATGGATGTCTCGAAGATGGGTCACCAGTTGGAATTCTTCTTTCTCCTGTTTTACATTTTCCAATGCTCTGATACTGCCCTTTACCTTGGTCTTGCCCTCCTCTCTTCCATCTTTTCAGGGCATGCAGATTAAAACCTTTATGCTTTATCAGTGCAACATAAAGGAAGTGATAGTAATATGCACATAATTTATTTAAAAGAAGCTAAAATTCCTAAATACTCTTCCCCAGCTTACATCTCTCACACACAAAGATGCATGTGTTGACCTCAGCCGTGTTCTCAAACAAGGCAGTTGGAAATGCGCTCGTAGAGCATATGCAGGATGTGTAAAAAGGGCTTAAAGAAGTCTGTTGATCTTTATTTCTGCTAAAACCTGTGAGTTAATATTTGGAGACGTGCAGGCACACGTTCTAATGTGTCAGTAGAGACCCAGGGAGCACGGCTGGTGTTTGAGCCTGGTAATAATTTTCAGTGGACTTGATTCTGCCCGTGGAGAAAAGCAGCGAGGCTTTGGCTGGGATGGCTCTCCGTGACCTCTCTGCTGTCACACTGCTGCAGTCCTGCATTCCTGACAAAAAGGATTCCTGAAATTCATTAAGATTCCTGAAATTTAATTCCTGCTGGAGTTAAACACTGCTCGTGGTCTGGTGGTGTCCAAGATGTGGGAGGAGGCAGCGGTGGTGGGGAAGTGGTAGGGAAGTGCCAAAGCTGTTCCTCAGCCAGAGAGGTCACCCTGTCCCATTCAAAATCACCTCCTTTGCTTAATCCTTGGGGATATTTGTTGTCCTGTCCCTGGAAATGTCCAAGGCCAGGTTGGATAAGGCTTGGAGCAACCTGGTTTAGTGGAAGGTGTCCCTGCCCGTGGCAGGGGGTGGGACTGGATGGGTTTTTGTTCTCTTCCAACCCAAACCATTCTGGGATTCTATTCCTGCCCATTTTTTAATCCACCAGGCTCCTTTTCTTTAGGGAAAAGGCCAGTGAATAATATTAGAATCACGGAATCAGTTAGGTTGGAAAATATCCCTGAGACCATCGAGTCCAGCCATTCCTCCAGCACTGCCAAGGCCACCACTGACCCCTGTCCCCAAGTGCCACATCCACACTTTCAGATCCTTCCAGGGCTGGGGACTCCACCACTGCCCTGGGCAGCTTGTTCCAAGGCCTGACCACCCCTTCCATGAAGAAATATTCCCTAATATCCAATCTAAACCTCTCCTGGCCCAGCTTGAGGCCATTTTCTCGTCTCACCTGTTACTATATATCGGGTTGTGAAGTGGTGGATTGGATTTTCACTGCGTTTTCCAGCATCTGCAACACTAATTTACTGCATTTATAATTTTGTATCATTTCTTTTAAAGTAACTAAAAGAAATTGGATTAATTACTGATACATGTTTAAGCTCTAACTAGAGTTTGTATCTGATAGGAATTTTCTTCAGAAGGCTGTGATGAGGAGGAATTAATTCACGTTCAGGAGGCGCAGGAAAAGGAAATTGCATAAATATGAGCATTAGGTTTTTGAACCCTTCCAAACACCTTTCTTGTTGAAGATCTTTAAGCAAGCCTGTCAAGTAGTTAAAAGTGTTTCCTAAATGTTTCTTATTCTGTTTCACACGTGCTTCAAGATGAGAATTCAGAGAGGGTTTCCTCTTATGATAACAGAGAAGGAGAAGCCTTTTGTGATGGAAATGTTTGCAAGCAGGAGCAATTGTTTCTCATAATGAGCATCATTCCTCTCTGGCTCATCCTCCCCGTGCTGCAGCTGTAATTGTAATTATTTTCACTCTGTTTGCCCACAAGTCCGGGCGGTTACTTCGAAAATAATTCCTGAGCACTGTTATAAAATACTTCAAAATTACCTTCTCTTGGTTGGGAGCCAGGGGAGGGGGATAAATTGCAGGTTCAGAAATGAAAAAGTTAACTGGCACTGGCTTACAAGAAACAAAGGAAGAGGAAAATTTGCTAGAGGGAATAGAGCAAGATATTGAAAACCAAATAAGTTACTAATCCGATTTCCTGGCGGTGAGTCTGGGCACTTGTGCTCAGGCTGAGCACACTCTGTGCTTTTCATAAATTGAATTTATTGACTCCTCTTTCTTCCCTATCTTGCTTATAATTATCTCCCCCTTCTCTGCTGCGTGCTCCTTATTTCTCATCCTGTCTGTAATCTCATGTCTCTATCTGTCCTTTTCTCCCCTTCTTAGAAAAGCCCAGAGAGTTGTTAATTCAGGGGAGTTTGACACATTGTTGTATCTTCCCTTGAAATCTTTTCCCAAAGTCATGAGAGGCCAGCGAGATGAATTAAACTCCATTATTAATGTTTGCATTTTATTATAATAGTAATGGAGAGGAAAACTCACCTAATGGAGCCATTAAGGGGAAGATATTAGGGTTGTATGTGGCATTTATTTGTGTTGCCAGTGCTGAATTATCTCCACCCAGACCAGTTACTGCACTAATATGGACCATCCAGGGGCATTTTAATCACTTATCCCAGTTTTCCAGCCACTGATATGGACAATGTGGCTGTTCAAATACACATTTTATGGTTTGTTTGTTTTTTTTTTAATATTCCCCCCCTCTGGGCTATAAGATGTTCTAATTCTTACATAAAAACAAAACTAGTCTATGGTTTAATGAATCTATGCAATAATTTCCTATAAAACCATTGAATGTCAGAGGGATACAAGTCTCTCTGCAGGCAGGTGAGATTTAAAAATACTTCAAGGAGTGATACCAACAGCTGCTGGTGCCTGACAGCCTGGCTAAAAAACATTATCCTTCAGCCTTGTAACCAGTATTTGAATTTGTAGGGTAGAGGGGTCCTTTATCGTGCACCCTAATCAGAATAAACCCAGGAATTTAACCTCATCCTCCAGTATTTCCAAACAAACAGAAAAATACATGAAATTAGTGAGCTGAAATGCCACAAAAAGGCCTTGATTTTTCATGGCCCCTATTTAGCACAGCTCTAATTAAAGGAGGTTTATTATGGACCAGGTTCCCTCCACGGTGTTACAAAAAAACCCAAGGAAAATACCTTTAATACATTAATTTATTAGGTGGTGTTAAATGGCAAGGGTTGGTAAAGAACACTAAACCCCCTCCAAAAATAGAGATCAAGCCCTGGAACACTCCCATTTGTCTGAAGATGAGATTTTCTGGGCAGAAATCTGCGTGTGATGAACAAATACCTGAGATTTCTTTCCTCAGGACACCAAATAGAAGTAGCACATTTTTTCCTTGGATCCCTTGGGAATTTCCTACGTTAACTTATGCAGTGTTAAATTGATGGGAAGTCAATGTTCAGCCCAGAAATTCTGTCATACCAGTGCAAAAAGAACCTTCCAGGTAAAGGAGCCTCCCTCAGTTTTATGGGAATCTCCATAGGGATGCCATCAAGCTGAGATTGGGGGTTTTGTTGACTAATGAAACTTTCCCATGTTTTTGTTTGGATCAGCACCCAGGGAGCATAAAACTGACTCCTTTTATTTTGTCAGCCTGTACTGACAAAATCTGCATTCTGGAGGATGTTTGTGGTCACAAGGACCGTGATCATCTGGGAACACCTTGGAAGTATCTTAAAATCATGGAATTTTTAAGGTTGGAAAAGCCCTCCAAGGTCATCCAGTCCAACCATTCCCCAAGCACTGCCAAGGCCACCACTGACCCGTGTCCCCAAGTGCCACATCCACATGGATTTTAAATCCAGGGACGGTGACTCCACCACTGCTCTGGGCAGCCTGTTCCAAAGCCTGACCATCTTTTTTTCCATGAGGAAATTTTCCTATAATCCAGTCCAAGTGCACCCTTACCCCTTGCAGGAACACTGCTGGATCCAGCAGAATGGTTTACAGGGTTATTTTTTAGGAATACCATGAGAATTTGGTTGAAGACATACATGACAAGTGGTTTTTCATTCCCTTTAATTTTGGTTTTCCCAAGCCCTAATTCCCATGACTGTGCCAGTGCAGTCCAGACTCACAAGAGGAGGTGCCCTGTGTGGCCACAGAGTGTTGCTCAGACACTTGAATCAGCTGTTTGTGGGTGTCCTGTGAGATTTCAAGGTTTAAATTTGGGCCTGTTCCTGACATAAACCCCGGGGATTATCAAATCCCTTCCTACCATTTCTCTCAAGGGGACTCCTAATTCCTCTCTTCCTTGTTTTATGGATTTGGTAGGGAAGAACAACTTTGCCTTCGTCAGTCTTGGAGTCCTGTAGTGAACAGAGATGGTCTCCAGCAGGTCTTTGTGTCTGGCCTGTCAGTGTCCTGTGAGATCACGGAATCTTGGAATGGTTTGGGTTGGAAGGGTCCTTTCCAAGTCATCTATTCCAACCCCCTGCCATGGGCAGGGGCACCTTCCAGTAGACCAGGGTTTCCTGTCCCTGGAAGTGTCCAAGGCCAGGTTGGAGCAACCTGGTCTAGTGGAAGGTGTCCCTGCCCATGGCAGGGGGGTTGGAACTAAAGGATCTTTTAGTTCCCTTCCAACCATTCCATGATCTGTGGTTCTCTAATGAAGCCCAAGGTTCAGGATACATTTCCCCCAGGCTGGACTTGCTGGGAATGGGATTTATCTTATTGTAAGGTCAGATGGTTTAATTTCCTTAATAGCCACAACACCAGAGCCATGACAGCATGAGGGGGGATGGAAAGGGATCATTCCTGCCACTCCTCAGGCTTCCAAAATCCCTGCCCTGTTGAGTCCTCAAACAGCTTCATTCTGCTTCCATGACCTGTCCCCGTCACACTGTGTTTGTCCACAATGTTCCTTGTTCTGTATTTTTATTTTAAAGAATTGCAAAACCCGGGAAGGAATTGTAGCCAAACTTCAGGGAATAACTTGGAGTTACTGAACTAACGCTTCTCCCTCTCTCTTCCCCTCCCCTGTGACCCTTTCTGCAGCAGAGCATGCTCGGGAGAGGAGGATAAAGGCACTGTCCAAACCAAGCACAAGACCATCAACTAATTTCAGCAGAAGAGCTTCTTTTTTTTTTTTTTTTCACCCCAAGAATGATATGACAGCCCGTTTGCAGGGCACACCAGTAAAGGGAAGAACTGGAAGAGCCATTTGAAGAGCAGGAGCCATCAGGGCTCAATCACCCTGACCATTTGAAAAACCAAGACCTGGATCTTATTACATCCGAAATCGCGCGTCCGAAGATGCCGTTCCCTCTTAGCAAAGCCCACTTATTGGTGATTGAAGGAAGGGAGAAGAAAAGAACCTTTCACTGGCCTTAGAAAGGGGAAATATCCTTCAAGTGCTGCTGTTTCATTGTGGAATCTCCTCCAACACGTCTCGCTGGCAAGGGCAGGGGTTTGTAACTCTTGGGGCGCCGGGACGTGGTGGTTCTTCGTGAGCGACTCGGGGCTTTCCTTGCAGTGTGTGATTGTAAATTGTGCTTTAAATTATTTCACAAATTATGTAACTTAATGAAGCCTCTCTCTCCAGGCCTTCTGCTGGAATGGTGTTAATGATCCGGCGCTTCAGGTGTGACAATGGCCTTTATTTACGGGAGGTGGTTCTGTCGTGCTCCTCACTCGTATCGAGAGCTGACGAACATGCCTCGCTCTGTACCAACAATAAATCTATTTTATGCACAAGATTGAGGCTGCAGTCTGTCTCTCTTCCCACCTCTCAGAGGCTGATGGTGTTCCCTCTGCTGTGTCAGTCATGGTTTCCCAGCAGATGTTGTTGCTGGAGCTTTAAAGCACAGACTTTGATGCAGGAGCAGCCTTGGTCTCGGGAGCGGTGCTTGCACGGGACTGTTTGCCATCACAGCAACCTAAAAGGGTCCCACGTGATGGTGTGTTGGGATTTATCCACCACTTGCCTTCTTGGGAAGTCCTTGGGAATGCAGCACCACAACCTCTTGTTGCCCAGAGAGGTTGTGGACTCCCCATCCCTGGAAGTGTCCAAGGCCAGGTTGGATGTGCTTGGAGCAACCTGGGATAGTGGAAGGTGTCCCTGCCCATGGCAGGGGTGGGACTGGATGGGCTTTAAGGTCCCTACAATCCAAACCATTCTGGGATTCTATGAAAGGACACAGAGCCCCTAAAACTGCAACCTAGCTTCCTGCAAACACCCAGTTTTTGTTCAGACAACAACTGCCACGTTCACTGTACCAAGCAATCTTAGAAATTACTTTTTACACAGTAGCAAAAGTAATAATATCAAAGGAGCAACATGGTCAGAGCCTTCTGCTATTTATTTACCTGTTCTGCTCCTCTAATTGGCTGTGTTGGAACCACATCCTTCTGAACAAGTGCGAGTGCACCTGTGGGTCTCATTTATTATTCATTCAAAATATTACCAGTGACTCTCCTAATTATCAAGATGCTCTGCGAGTACTGTTTAATTAAGGGTTTGGTTTTTTTTTTATGCTACAAAAAAGCATAAAAGCATTTTTATTACACGTGGAGCAACTGCAATATCAGTAGGAGAGGAGGATCCTGGAGTTCAACTTCAGGTGCCAGGTAAACTGCTGGAGAGAAACGATGGGGACACAAGCAGCATGTTTACATGGCGACTTGCTGTAGCGTTTACAAATCAGCTAACTCACAAATTCTTCTCTGTAATGTTCTCCTCTGTTACAGAGAGCCAAGAAGTTGGCAGACCCCTGCTTGCCAGACTTAGAATTGGCAGAGAAAGGCAGCACAGAGGAAAAAGCAGACTTTTTTCGGGCCAGATGATTCTGTAGAATCGGGAGCATCGGGAAGGAAGGTCTCTGTTGCTGCCAAATGTTTATTGGTTTCCCGTCCTGACAGCCCTGAGCAGTGGCAGTCAGTCCTGCTTGCTTTGTTCCAACTGTGTTTCAGGCTTCACTGGAGATGTTGTGTTCCTTAAACATCCTCTGTGTGTGTGGCTGGAGCTGGGGGGAAGGTGGTGGTGGCAGACGGGGTGTGGACGTGAAAACTGTCCGTGTTGTGGCCAACTTCTGCCTTCAAAGCAGAGCAGCAGTTCTGGGCCCTTCACTTCAAGGAAGACATTGAGGTTCTGGAGCATGTCCAGAGAAGAGCAGTGAAGCTGGGGAGGAATGTGGAGAGTCAGTCACAGGAGAAGAGGCTGAAGGAGCTGGGGGGGCTCAGCCTGGAGAAAAGGAGGCTCAGGGGGGACCTTAGTGCACTCTACAAGTTCCTGACAGGAGGGAGGAATTGGAGGGGATCAGGCTCTGTTCCCATGGAACAAGGGACAGGAGGAGGAGGAATAGCTTCAAGCTGTGCCAGGGGAGATACAGTTTGGACATCAGGAGGAGTTTCCTCATGGAAAGGGTGGTCAGGCCTTGGAAGAGGCTGCCCAGGGAGGTGGTGGAGTCCCCAGCCCTGGAGGTGTCCAAGGAAGGCCTGGCCGTGGCACTCAGTGCTCTGGGCTGGGGGACAAGGTGGGCATCAGGCACAGGGTGGGCTCTGTGATCTCAGGGATCTTTTCCAGCCTCAGTGATTCTGGGAATGTTTCTGGAGTGAGCTTCAGTTCACCACCTTGTCTTCCTTTGCCACCTCTACCTCTGTGTCCCTGCATCCTTGTCCTTTTGTCTGTCTTTGGCTTCCCCCTCCTCCCCAGTTGCTGGTAGGGGCACCGAAATCTTTAAAATCCTTGCATTTTCTTGGAGTTTTTTTTAATATGGAAAACCTGTGGAGTGGCTTCTCAGCTCCTCAAAAATAACCAGCTCTAAGATTGCACACTGCCAGAGTGAGCATTTGAGCTCAGCCTGGTGGATGCTGCTCTCAGAAGGGATGATGGGGGTGATATCCCCTGGGATGACAGACGAGGGCACCTGCCCATGGCAGGGAATAATTTCAGATGTTCTCGTTGGTCATTCACGAGCTCTGATCAGCTGTAAGCGAAGGGCCGTGTTACCCAGGGGTTTAAATGGAAAAGCAGGATTGTAACAGCTAAATCAAAGCTTTTCATTGTTCTTTGCTCAGCGGCTGTGGAACAAATCACAGAGCTTTCAGTGGTGTCACAATAATCACTGCTCTGCCACTCTCGTGTCGTTTGGCAGCGTTAAGACTCCTTCAGACTCCAGACTCCCTTTCCTCAGGAGTCCTGTGTGTCTGACACACTTCACATCACCTGGCAGAGCTGGCTTTGGGCTTTTTCATCCTATCCCTCCATTACAGTTTTTAGCAGACACTTGGAATTAGCTTTTCCAAGTGGAGATGGCTGTGGGTTGGGATAAATGTTACAGCTCAGCTGGTCACTGCTTTGTCCTCTTCTAGATCCTGTGCCCTTCTTGAGAGAATGTAAAGTGGCAAATGTGGTTTTGGGTGGGGTTACATGTTGTCTCTCAAGCTGAGGAGGTGATGGATGGGGCTCTGAGCACCCTGCTCTAGTGGAAGGTGTCCCTGCCCATGGCAGGGGGTTGGAACTGGATGATCTTTAAGGTCCCACCCAACCCAAACCATTCTGTGATTCTATGATCCTTTCCTATCTTTTTTGTTGTCCTCCCCGAAGTAACAAATTCCAGACAATATGCTCTGCAAACAATTCCAGGAGCTTCCTCCCCCAGCTGTGAATGCTGATGGGGTTTGGGAAAGGCAAAATGATGATTTCCAGTGTTTTCTTCGTGTGCACCTTTGCCCCACCCCGGAAGTGTTCAAGGCCTGGCTGGGGCTTGGAGCAACCTGGTCTGGCTGAAGACCATGGCAGGCAGGTTGGACCAGATGACCTCTAAAAGTCATCCCAACATGAATTATTCCTGATTCTGTGATTTTTCTCCTCTGTGAGCACCCACAGATCCCAAACCAACACCAGCTGTTGATCACAGCAGGTCCCTCTGGCGCAGAGCGAGGCCCCCTTGTTTCCCGAGCAGCAGAGACAGAGAGACTGGAGGGATGCAAAGTTTCTTGCCCAGCGTGTCAAATCTCATTTGCAGGACCCAGAAACCATCAGATGTTTGTCCCATGCCAGGTGACAACACACTGCAGCTCCCCTGCCCAGGGTCAGTCCTGCTTGATCGAGGGGTGGGCGCTGCCAGATAAAACCAGGCGAGGGTTTAGATTTGGGTGTCTTTGCACTCGGAGGCAAACAGCTGCAGGTGGGAATTTTGTAACCTGGTCAGTCCTTAATTTGCACAATTTGTGTTGGGCTGACACTGTTTTGGAAGTTGGCTGAAGGGACAGGAGAGGGGACGTGGAAGGAGAGAGCAGGAGAGGGTGTGTGCAAGGTGGGATCTGTCCTACAGCCAGGTGAGTCCTTTTTGTGTTCAGCCTCTTCCATCTCTTCCTTGGAAACCCTCTGCAGGTCATGGCCTGCACTAATGACACCAGTTGTGTTCCTGCTTTACACACAGTGACTTCCTGAGGAGCTGGGGGCTGTTTCCAGGGCTCAGCAGCTGCTGTCACACTGAAGTTCAGGAGAGCAGCGAGTGACTCCCAGACCCATCATCCCTGGAGAGCCCGAGGCAAGATTCAAGTAAAGGTCTGGAAAATGAAAAGAGAATAAGGTTGGGGAGGTGAGGCACATTGGCAGTGATGTTCCAGCTGGGTTTGGCTGGGTGAACACCCTACTGTCACCAGCTCTCTGTTGGAGAGGAACGTCTGTCATTTCAACTCTCCTTCCAGGTTGCTCTCAGCTGCTGTTCCCATCGTGGGGAGAGGTGTCCAACAGGGCCTGGGGGCAAGTCCGCCTTTAATTTGATCATCAGCATTCATCAGCCAAGGAGCTGGAGCAGAATCCACCCCTCCCTGGGGAAGAGGGAGATTCCCTGGCCGTGGTCTGAGAGGACCAAGGTGTGAAGGGGACCTGGGCCTTCAAGCCATTGCTTGAGGTTCCCCCAGAACAGGAGGCACCGAGCCAGGGCTGCTCTGCAAGGATGTCAGCTCCACGTGAACAAAGACACTGGGTAATTAGAGAGGTAATTAGTTTGGTAATTACTAAGGTAATTAGTTTGATTCTCTCTCAAGCCAGTAACTGCTGGGAAGAGAAGGCTCAGCCCACGGTGCTGGAGGGAGCACCTCGAATTGCTGCAGCAGCCCCCTGCCAGGTGAGCCCTTCCTCCTCCGGGGTGGGGAGCAGCATCCTTTACTGCTGAAAATGGCATGGTCTGGAGGAAAAAATAACCCTGAAAACCCCGTTTGGCAGAGGCCTTTTGTGCCCAAAAGCTTTTGAGCCACCACCTGGTGACATCCAGAAGTGCTTGTGCCACGGGCAGGGCAGGACTTAAGGTACAGATCACCCCGTGGTGATGTATTTATTGCAAAGATTTTATATTCCCTTAAGACTGCTGGGGGCACCTTTTGGGTGGGGACGCTCCTTGGGTAACCATTTTAAAGTGACCCCACTTGGAAGATAAGGTTTGATCCCCTCCTTCTTTGATCCCACACACCCCTTCACCCCCGGGCTGGTTCAGCAGAGGCATTTCATGGAATCAGAGAATGGTTTGGGTGGGAAGGGACCTTAAAGATCATCCAGTCCCAAACCCCTGCCATGAGAAGGGACACCTTCCACCAGACCAGGTTGCTCAGAGCCCCAACCCAGCCTTGGAACCATTTTTACCAGCTTGGGGTGCACGTCAGCACCCGGAGGTGAGTTTTTTCTGCTCGTGTGTCACGTGAAACCACAGTTATTTTCTGACCACCCTACGCAGGAAAACCATCCCTCCTT